GGTCAGCTGCCCTAGGCCCAGTTAGCCTTGGGGGGCACAAAGCAGCCGCACCATTTGCCCTCAGCCCCTATTGCCGATCCTCAAAAGAATTGATTGTGGGCAGCGGGCCTGCATGCTGTTTGGGGCCATTGGATGGCTTATGGACTTGCAATGGCATTGTGTCCTCAGGTGCCTGTTTAGTGCTGTGGTGCTTTAATAGAGTGACTGGGCCCCTCTAATGATGTCAGTGCTGGGAGGTAGTGACAGCCAATCACTTCCGTCCAGATAACAACGAGCAGCACGCAGGAGGGAGGAGGAGGGGAGTGCAGAGTGAGAGCCTCTGAATCCCAACAATATCAGCCAGCCACTGGACCCCAGGGAAGCCACCCTTGTGCACCTAGGAGGGTGGCTAAAATGTTTTAAGTTTGCATGTTTGTGTGTGTTTGTGTATCTATCTGTGTATCTGCATGTGTGTCTGTATGTGAATCTGTGTACCTATCTCTGTGTGTGTGTGTGTGTATGTTTGTCTGTATGTGCATCTGTGTGTCTATATGTGTAACTGTGTGTCTGTATATCTGCATGTGTGTCTGGTTGTGTATCTGTGTGTCTGCATGTGTGGCTATATGTGTATCTGTGTATTTATACGAGTAACTGTGTGTCTGTATGTCTGCATGTGTATCTGTATGTGAATGTGTGTCTGTATGTGAATATGTGTCTTTATGTGTATCTGTGCATCTATATGTTTTACTGTGTGTTTGTATGTGTTTATGTGTGCCTGTATGTGTATCTGTGTGTCTATATGTGTAACTGTGTGTCTGCATGTGTGTCTGTATGTAAATAGGTTTGCCTGTATGTGTATCTGTGTGTCTGTATTTGAATATAGGTGTCTTTATGTGTCTGTGTGTCTGCATTTGTGTCTTTATGTCGGCATGTGTGTCTGTATGTCGGCATGTGTGTCTGTATATTGGCATGTGTAACTGTATGTTGGCATGTGTAACTGTGTGTCTGCATGTGGGTCTGTGTGTGAATCTTTGTGCCTGTATGTGTATCTATATGTCTGTATATGTATATCTGTGTGTATGTGCATTCTTATGAGTGTCTGCATGTGTGTCTTTGTATCTGCATGTGTGTCATTGTGTGCCCCTGTCTATATGGATGTGTCAGTGTTTGTATCTGTATGAGTGTCATTCTGTGTATCTGAATGTATTTTTTTTTTTTTTTTGCTAGGGTGGGGAGGTGTGGAGAGAATGATTGCATGCCTGGGATTAGGAGGGAAGGGTAGGGTCCCAAGAAAAGTAAATGCCCAGGGTCCAATCAATATTAAAAATGGCCCTGGCATTAAGAGAAGCTAAAATCTTTATATTTATTTTTCAGGAAGTGTGTAGGGAGGTTGTGTGAGACTCAGCCAAGTACTGCATAAACAAAGTTAAAATAATTAATAATATTTTTTTGTCTGCATTAGTCCACATCATAATTCTACTGTTCACAAAATGCAGAGGGTAAGAGGGGTGGGGGGTTAGAAGAGACACAAGGGGTAAGAGCATTAAGAGACACAAAAGGTTAAGAAAGTTAGGAGAGACAGACAAGGGGATGTGGGAGTTAAGAGAGACACAGAAGATTAAGAGTGATTAAGGGACACAACAGATTTGGGTAGAAAGAGACACACATGGTAATGGAGATTAAAGAGATACATTAGGAGGGGTAGGAAAGACACAATTGGCAAAACAAAGATTAGTTTTATAAAGGGTAAAGGAGGTAGGAGGCAAACAAAGGGTAAGAAGAGTTAAGAGATACACATTATTTGGGTTAGGAGAGACACAAGAGGTATGGAGGCTAAGAGATACATACAGTGTTAAGGGGCTTGATGAGAGGCTCAATAGGGTAAGAAAGGTTAGGAAAGACACACAAGAGGTCAAGGGTTGCAGAGAGACAAAATGGGAAAGGTTGTGTTATAAAAAAAAAAACAAAAAAAAAACTCAGGGAGACAAGGGGTGCCAACAGACAGTCCCATCCTGAGTTTCAACTAATATAGATACACCTATGCCAATAATCTTCAAGGGACACTATTGGCACCTATACCACTTCAGCTCACTGACGTGATCTTGATGCAGTGTCCCGGTCCCCTTAACCCTGCAGTGTTAATTATTGGACTTTCTGAGAAACTGTAATTAATACATTGCAGGGTTAAAACTGGTTCTAGTGGCTGTCAGTCAGACAGCCACTAGAGGCACTTTCTGGTGATTAGGCGACTTTTGGTTGCATAACTGACGATGGACGTCCTCATGCTCTGAGGACATCAAGTATCAGTAAAATCCCCATAGGAAAGCATTAATACAGTGTTTTTTTTATAGGGAGAGCCCAATGCTCTTGCAGCTCTCGCAGCTCTCGGATGCGCATTCTTGAGTTTTCAAGTATTTGGAAGAAAACATGAACATTGAAATCAACCTTTTTTTTTTTTTTTTATAACACAACCTTTCCCATTTTGGAGCGGCCTGGGCTCCGCGTAACGAGTCTCGCCTAATGAGGTCCCGCCGCCCCGGGTATGTTCAGTGCTCTAGTGGTTCATGCCACACCTCAAGAGACATACTGCCTCCAGGGATACCATGTCAAGGCGCACTTATCTGTGTGCTCTCGCAGAGAGGCCGTCAGAATCTCCATGTCGTAGATGGTGTCCACCTTGTCTATGGGTGGGGACTGATGGACCCTTCCAGTGCAGGGGAATGAGAGCTTTTGCTGTGTTTAATAGGTGAATTGTCAGCGACTTTTTATATGCCTGCGTGGGGATGGGTGTATGGTGTAGGAGCATCGGTAGTGGCTGTAGGGGGATGTCATCTCCTGTGATCTCTTTGACCTTTGTCCTGATCATCTGCCAGTATGGTTTGATACGGGGGCATGACCACCAGATATGTAAGCTAGTGCCTCTCTCTAAGCCACATCTCCAACAGTCGCCCGTGTCCATCCCGTGTATGTGTCTCAGTGAGTTTGGTGTTCTGTACCATCGTGTTAACAATTTATAGCTGGTTTCCTGGAATTTCGAGCTTATTGAACATTTATGGGTAAGGAGGAATATTTTGTCCCATTCTTGATCTGTCAGCTGTGTACCCGTCTCCTCTTCCCATCTGCTCGTGTAGCCTAATGGGCCGCTATCACCTGTCCGCTGGAGCAGAGCATATAAATAGGATACCCCATGGATTAGATGTCGTCTGTCTGTGCACAATCGTTCAAATTCCGTAAGTGTACGGTGGAGGTGAGTTCTCCCCGGGAGTTTGGCATAGTCGGACCTGACTTGATGGTAATGGAATTTGTCAAGTGGGGTAGGTTGCCTGTCCGTTATTAAGTCGCCCAGCGGTTGAAGCGTTCCCCCCGGACTCCACTGGCGTACATAGAACCAATCTGTCTTTTGAAAATTGTGTAGGGCAGCCGGGTGGAGGCCTCCTGCCACCCCCGGGTTGTGTGTAATGGGCGTAAGCGGGCTTGGGGAGGTGGTGAATTGGTGGACATACCGTAGACCCTGAGAGTGGCGTCTATCACCGGGTTCTTAGTGTGTAGGTCAGTGAAAGTGGACCCCCCCAGCCAGAGCTGTGACGGGACAGTGCCCCGTGTCTGTTGCAGTTCCATGGAAACCCATCGTTTGGCGCTAGGCCGCGCGTGCCAGTCTACTATTCTGTGGAGGTGTGTGGCCCTATAGTATGAGATCACTGACGGTAGCCCCATTCCCCCAGCTGTCTTCGGTCTCTCCAAGATCGACCTCCGGATGCGCGTCTGCCTATGATTCCACACAAACCTCTGAATAGTTGTTGTTACAGAATTGAAAAATGTCTGGGGGATCCTGGTGGGTAGTGTCGCAAAGAGGTACAGCAGCCTGGGGAGAATATTCATTTTGACCGCACTAATGCGGCCAAACCAGGATATGTACTGCTGCGTCCACCGCTGGAGGTCTTGTTGTATGGCGGAGAGGATAGGGAGAAAGTTCAGCCTGTATACCTGCGTCAGCTCCGCTGGTAGCCAGGTTCTCAGGTACCGTAGTTTGGTTGCACACCAGGAGAAGGCGAACTGGGAGCTGAGCTGACGGACCTGCTCTTCTCCCTGCATTATCGGCATAGCTTCGGATTTTTCCACGTTGAGTTTCAAGTTGGATACCTGGTGATAGGTGCGAAACGCCTGTAGGAGGTTGGGCATGGATATCCTGGGCTGTTCCAGGAAGAAGAGCATGTCGTCCGCATAAGCCGCCACCCTGTGCTCTTCGGAGCCCACCTTCACCCCCGTTATGCCCCCGTCCTGTCTGACCGCCTCTAGAAACGGCTCGAGAGAGAGGGCAAACAGGAGAGGGGACAGGGGACAACCCTGCCGGGTCCCATTGCAAATCGGGAAGGACTGCGTTAGGGCTCCGTTAATGCGGATCCTAGCCGTTGGGGAGGAGTATAGCGCCGACACCCAAGATCGTATAATTGGCCCGAACCCCATATGTCGAAGAGTCTCGTCCAGATAGACCCAGTCCACCTTTTCGGCGTCCGTAGAGAGGAGGACTGTGTCTCTTCCCGAGGTCCGTGCGCAATGTATGATGTTCAGGGCTCGTATCGTGTCATCCCTAGCTTCTCTACCCGGAATAAAGCCCACCTGATCTGGGTGTATGAGATCCGTCAGGATCCGCGACACCCTCAGGGAAAGGGCTTTGGTGAATAGCTTCAGGTCCGCGTTTAGTAATGAGATTGGTCTATAGCTCAAGCAATTTGACGGGTCTTTTCCGTCTTTGGGGATGACCGTGACTATCGCATCCAGGGAGTCCGTGGGGAACCGCCCCCCTTCCTGTATAGAGTTCAGGCCCGCTAGAAGGCGGGGTAGTAGGGCGTCTCGAAATGTTCGTATATATGTGAGGGGGAGGCCGTCCGGGCCCGGCGCCCTGTGTGGTTTGGAGCATTTCATGGCTGCGGCTAGTTCCTCTAACGTCAGGGGTGCATCAATTTCCTCAGCGAGCTCCGGAGTGAGTTTGCGAGTCACATGTCGCGTTAGATAGTCTGTGACTCTCCTGCGGTGGTTTTGGGCTTCTGTCCCTTGCATGGGCCTAGCTTGGTTGTAAAGGTCCATGTAATAGGCCCTAAATGCTGGCATAATGCCTTCAGGCAGTCTGGTGGTCTGACCTTGTCTGGTGTGTATCTGGTGGATATGTTGGGCTCTACGCTTCTCCCGGAGCACTTGTGCTAGGAGTCGACCGCTCTTATTTGAGTGCTCGTAGAAGTGCCTAGCTGATTTCCGCATCGTGTGTAGTAGTCCCTGGGATAGGTGTGCTCTGAGTGTCCTGCGTAGGTACGTGTCATCATCTAGGGTATGCTTATGTGTATTCTCTAGGTCTGCTGTCCGTGCCGTTAGGTCTTCAATTTTATCACATGACAGGAGGATTGCTATTTAGCATTTTTTTAACGCTGATGTATGAGTGACATGGCTGCGCCGGAACTCAGGCGGAAGTAGAATGTACGAAACATGGATTCTATCAACCAGTCTGCAGCGCGTAGAATATCCAATAAGGAAGCGCCTGCCACGAAACCCGAGGAAGCCGCCGCTCCGCGCACCGAGTGGGCCCCAAAGGTAGCCTCCACGCCTGCTAGCGATAGCACCCAACGAACCCATCTGGCAAGAGTAGTGGTCGAAATGGGGACGTGAGGTCTAACATACAACACTAAAAGTTGTCCCGAGGACGAGGTTGTATAGGTAGCGGGACCTCGACATACTGTCGTAAAGTAGAAACGACGCAGAGTTGTGGATCAGAAGTGAAGAAGGGATAGAAAACCAAAGTAGAATCCGATTTTGTGCGACGGGACACCCGAAGCATAACTCCCTCTGGGGTGACTGCGAACGCGTCGATGTCAAAGGCCCGAACATCCAATACTCTGCGGAATGAGACCAGGCAAAGCAGAACCGTGAGTCTTGCTGAGAGTTGTCGAAGTGAGAGTATGTCGTTAGTCGGCCAGTCTCTCAGGAAACAGAGAACCACGTCGACATCCCAGAGATGTGAATATTTGGGCCATGTTTGTCATTGTAGTCGGATGCCCTTCAGAAGTCGACACACCAGAGGGTCTTTACCTACCGGGATTCCTAGTATAGGGACGTGGGCCGCTGAAATCGCGGAGCGGACTACATTAAGCGATCGGTATGATCGACCTGTCGAGAACAGATGAGACAGAAAGTTCAGAATGGTTGGGATAGAAGCCGTAAATGGATCAAAGTTCCGTTCCATACACCAGCTGGACCAGGAATTCCAAGCAGATAGGTAGCATCTTCTGGTTCCTGGAGCCCAGGAATCCCATAGGGGGTCCTTAGCAGCCTACGATAGTTCGCCGACTTGCCAGGCACCCCTGAAAGAGTCCAAGCTACCAGAGTGAGTCAATTGTCCAGGATCAGCGGGTGAGGGTTCCCCTTCGGATCCGTGAGGATATACGGATGATGAGGTAGTAGGAGGGGATCCTTGTAAAATAGGGCTAGGAGTTCCGGGAACCACGGTTGTCACCTCCATAAAGGAGTGATGAGCAGTAGAGATACTTGTTGACTTCTGAGGTAATGGATGGTCGTTGCTATCAAGGCAAAGGGAGGAAAAGTGTATGCTCCCGTGTTTGCCCACGGTTGTAGGAATGCGTCTGCTGCTTCGCTCTCCGGGTCTGGGAGCCAGCTGAAGTGTACTTGTGATTGTCTGTTGTTGTGGGACACAAACAGATCCAGGTGAAACAGACCCCGATGTTCCGCTATGCAGTTAAGACCTGTGGTTCCAGTCTCCAGTCGCTGTTGTCCCGCCAGTGGCGTGAGAACCAGTCCGCCGTGAAGTTCGTCTCCCCTGGGAGATATTCCAGTTTGAGGGAGATGTTGCGGGGTAGACAGAAGTAAAAAATCTCCTTCGTTATTTCCGACAGAAGGAGAGAGTGGGCTCCGCCCAGGCGGTTGATGTAGCAGACTGCTGAGATGTTGTCCATCCTGAGGAGAATGCAGCAGTCCGTCCTGTCTTTTGCTAGGCTGTGTATGGCGAAGGATCCCGCCAGACGTTCTAGGCAATTTATGTGCATGTTGAGGTCCTGAGAGGTCCAGGCACCTCCTGTCGATGTACCTTCACTTGTCGCACCCAGTCCCCAGAGGCTGGCGTCCGACTCCAGGACCATGTCGGGTGTGTTCCTGAAAATGGCACGACCGTTCCATGCGTCCATGCTATCTAGCTACCATCTGAGTTTGTCTCTGACTTCCTCCGTTATTGGGAACGGTTGGTCGTATGAAGGGTTTTGTCTGAGGAAGGATGCCTTGAGGCATTGCATCGCCCTGTAGTGGAGTGGGCCCAGGAAGATCGCTTGTATGGAAGCAGATAGGAGTCCCACCAGTCGAGCTAGGGCGCGGAGTGGAATGGTGTGGCAACGAATGGCCCTGTGTAGTTCTTTGCGAATGGCCGAGATCTTTGGTGATGGAGGTGGAATCGATCTCGAATCCTAGGAATTGCACCGTTTGGGACATGGAGATGGCTGACTTTTGTAAATTCACCACGAAGCGAAGGGATGACAGGAGATCCGTGATATAGTGGGTGTGCCGTACCAGTCTGGACTTGTCGGAGCAGAACAGCAGAAGGTCGTCCAGGTATATAATGCAGCAAATTCCTTGTGCTTGAAGATGAGCAACCACGGGCTTCAGTAATTTGGTGAAGCACCATGGGGCCGAGCTGAGGCCGAAAGGGAGGCACGTGAATTGCCAGGGAAGGCCTTGCCAGTTGAACCTTAGGAATTGCCGGCAGGATTGGTGGACGGGTACCGATAGGTATGCTTCCTTTAAGTCTAGTCTTGTGAACCAATCTTTGTCTTGTAATAGGTCCCTCAGAAGATGTATGCCCTCCATCTTGAAGTGCCTGTACGTGACGCATTCATTGAGTCGTCTCATGTTTATGACGGGGCGGAAGTCTCCCGTTTTCTACTTCACCAACAATATGTTACTGAAGAAACCCCCGGGGCCGGAGGCGGGTTCGATAGCACCTTTTGAGTATAGTTCTTGGAATCGTTGTTTATTAGATAGGTGTCTTCTGTTGAGCAGTTGATGGGATGTGGTAGGTTCCTTTGTTGTGGACGGTCTACGAAGTCAATAATGTAGCCCTGTACTGTCTGTAGGATCCATGCATCAGTGGAGATGGATGTCCATTCCTGAAAAAACAGAGAAATGGAACCTGCTGTATGATGTGGAAGGAAAAGTTTTGTTAGGTGATTGTTTACCTGCGGAAAAACGTATTCTGCTTCGGGTGCGTGGTCCACAACCTCTGTCTGCTCCTCAAGTGTAGGAGAAGGGTTGTCGGTATCCTACCTCCAGGTAGAAGGGTAGGGGTCTTGTATTGTGGGGGCCTGAAGGCCAGAAGCGGCTGACAGCACGGCCCCTTTGGTGGCCAGCCCGTCCAAAAACACCCCTGGTGGGGTTGTGTCGAAAGACTCTCTTCATCGAGGTTTGAGCCTTATTTAAAGATGTTTACGTGCCTATTTAGGTCCTTGAGGAAAGCATCCCCGAACAACTTGCCCTGTGCCAATGGGCCTAATTCTTTGGTGCCCAATTCCACCAACTTTCTGTCTATGCAGAGTAGTGCTGCTTTGCGCCACTCGGAGGAGAGGGCGACATTGGTATTACCCACAAAACAAAAGCATCTTTGTGCCCACTCCCGTACGTCATGGGCCCATTCGCGGACCATGGTGATGTCGGACTGATCGGCTCTAGTTAGTGCATCATCAGCCAGGTACATGATTCTGGCTAGTGAGCCCACGGAATCCAGCAGTTTATCCTGCACCCCTCCTGTGAGTCCGACTCATCCGCTTGCCACTCGTCCAATATGGCCAAGGACTTAGTGTGCTCCTCCTCTTCTTCCGGGGAGTAGTCGTGGCGTGGGGTAGGGGTAGTGAATGTAGTGGACTTCTGACGTTTGACAGGTGTTTTGCCCTTGGTCGGGTTCGTGTGACCCTTTTCCCCTTTCCAGTGGTGTTTGCTGGTGTGGGGTTCTTTTGTTTTATGCGATTCTGAAGCCTCAGATTAAGAGTCATGATGGGAGTGGTGGGTATTTCCTCTGGTCAGTATTAGAGGCCATCATTTTGGAGAGAGCTATCTCCATAGAGGCGGCTACAGCCTCGTTTATCAAAGCTTGGAAGTCTGATGGATTTTGAGATGCTTCCATTTTTAAAGGACCAATAGGTGTATATGGCACAGGGCGTATGAGGCAGAGGTCAGTAAGACTGTATATTTATTGTGTCATTGCAGTGACTATATCAGCAGTACTAGTGGACCCCAGCAGGGTACAGTGTTTTGTTCAATTTAGTACCTGTGGTACTGTTTAAACCCCAGCAGGGAATGAATAGTATTGGGATTTGAATCTCTGGGCCTCACCTAGGGGCACAGTGGTAGCCACAAGGCAACCTCCAATAGCAGCATAGATAATGGGGCAGCACCCCAGAAAAGCACAGGGTAATACTCCTTTTAGTGCTTAACACAGTGCACCGGAATTATCCTGACTGACCTCTGTGAAGCTCAGGAGTTGTCCGGTTTGCAGCTTGATCGATCGCAGCACTCACGGATGTAAAATGCCGGCCGTTAGTCTCGCAAGGTGCGAGATCGAAAATGGCCGCCATGGGGGTATGCGCGCGGTTATGGCGTCGCTAGCAACCTGCCGCACGGGAGGGTAGGAAGGCCGTCGGGGACGGCGGGAAATCCCGTGAGGGAAAAGAGGTTTGCCAGCAGGGAAATAACGCCGCTGAGACTAAAAAAACGCAGCTGAGACTAAAAAAAACTGATCATAGACTATTCTATAAGATATAGAGTAAACAAACTTTATAATAACTAATAAGAAGTTAAATATATAACAAAGTATGGAAGAGCCAAAACTCTGACCTGTCTGCGATGGAGCAGTAAAGAAAGAGGGGGAGGAGCCTATTTGATGTGAATACTATACTCCCTATTGCATTTTTGATTGGTTAATGTTTCACATTCTTCACTGATGTGGAGTTTAGTAAAGAGAGTTATGCAAAATAGGAAGCCTCCTGTCATGTGATAACATTAGAAACCATAGCACTACATATATATTTTTTCTCTCTGTCTGTCTGCTGTTCAGTTGTGGATTGAATGAAGCAGTTTATAGCATATTATAGAAAAAGGTAAAAAAAAAACAAAAAAAAAACAACAACATAAAACACATACTTTACCTGGAACATTCTTTGGTTAGAGAGTTCCCTGGTACATTCATATTTTTTTTTTTTTTTTGATTTTTTTTTATTAATTTTGATCCTAATCCATATTTCACTCTGCAGCGGTACAATCAAAAGGAGATTTATTAAATGGACACTATAGTCACCCGAACAAACATAGGTTATTGTATTTGTTTTGGTAAGTAGAATCATTCTCTTCAGGCTTTTTGCTGTAAACACTGTCTTTATTTAGTGAAAATGCAGTGTTTACATTACAGCCTAGGGATAACTCTACTGGCCACTTCGCAGATGGCTACAAGAGGTGCTTCCTGGGGCAGTGCTGCAGTGTGCAGCACTGCCATTCAGTGTATCCACCCTCTGTATGGAGACACTGAATTTTCCTCATAGAGATGCACTGATTTAATTAATCTCTATGAGGAGATGCTGATTGGCCATGGCTGTGTATGACTTGTGCTGGCTCTGCCCCTGATCTGCCTCTTTGACAGTCTCAGCCAATCCTATGGGAAAGCATTGTGATTGGTTCAGAGAATCTCTTCTGATGATGTCAGCCAAGCAGGCAGATCAGGGGCAGAGGCAGCAGCTGCAGGCTTGAACACAAGTAAGATTTTACTATATTTAGGGAGGCAAGGTGGTGCCAGATTGTGGTTTTAACACTATATGGTCAGGAATACATGTTTGTGTTCCTGACCCTATAGTGTTCCTTTATGTTTCTCCAGAGGTCTAGTGGTATAACTGGAGGAGTATGGATTTCTACAGTGGAGAGTGGCCTATAATACAGAGTTAAAGGCCGTGATATGGTGGGTGTGATAGAGGTTTAAAAGGGAAGTGATGATAAGCCCAGGTGAATTATGATATAGAGGTAACCTATGTCTGGGTTGTAATAACATTAGCTGATTAAGTCATCTTACTAGGATATACAGTCAAACATGCATACTATTTGCAAGTTAGTAAGCCCTCTATATCAATGTCCTACTCTCTTATTTATATGGGTGGGAAAGTGTGTGGGTGCATGCGTATATGTGAATTAGGTATATGTGAGAAAAAGTGTGTATGTATGAGAGAGTGTGACTGTAGGCATACGATAAGCTGTGTGTATATATAAGGGAGAGAGATTGTGTGTATGTGCATAACAGAACTAAAAAAGTGGAAAAGATGCAGAAATGGAATGGAAAAGGGTCCCACAAATAGTCTTTGCCCAGGATCCTGGGAATGCTAAGGGTTACATTTTTCCAGTATTTCGGTTTATGTCCTATTTTGTTCAGTATCTTTGAAGTATGGAACTATAAAGGATGTTTCTTGTGTTGGAGTGACATCTAGTGGTTATTAGAAAAATAATAATGCTACTTGTTTATTTACTAGGTATATTATTACAAAATCTACCATATAACACACTTGCACTCTGCTGTTCCAAACTTCTAAAGTCGAGCTCCATTATGTGCGGATATCCTGTCGTAGAAGGTATGTGGGAATCCCTATACAGTGGAAATGTATATAAATCCTGCATGGTTGACAGTAAGTAGACATGTTCACTTCGTTTAGTTCCGAATGTACATTCAGACGAATTTCAGCATCCGAATGTCCGAAGCTTGAATTGGCGAATTTCCGAATTGCAGAATTTCCAAAGTGCCGAACCGAATTGCCGAAGTTCCAAATTGCCGAAGTCCCGAATTGACGAAGTCTTGAATTGATGAAGTTTTGAAGCACGTTTAGGTTTGATTTGTCAAAGTGATGAATTGACAAGGTGTCAAATTTACGAAGTCTTGAATTGCCGAAGTGCCGATCCGAACCAAATGCCATGGGTCCGAATTGCCGAAGCAGACAAATGTTTTTTCTTACCCGAAATTCTGAACCAAACCAAATTTTTTGCCCATGCACATCCCTAACAGAAGGGTTGGACCTTGTCCACTGCCACCACCATACCCAGGCACTGTGGACAGACACCAATGTGCTATCAAGGAACATAAGGCATGCTGGTGAGTAGTCAATCAAGTGGGTTATTTTGTTATCCTGCTGTTTTAACGTGGCCCTTGAGTGAAATCCAACAAAATGCTCAAAGGTGGGCTGGTGGACACTTTTTATGCCATCGGCTCGTACATTGGTTCTCTATCTCCTATCTCAACATCAAGTGGTTTCCTGGAACTGATATTGACAGTGCAAGATCCTGGGACTTACCACTTATTGGAGTGTAGATATACCTGACATTACTTAAATCTTGTAGTGTAATATTGATTAAAGTTGTGTGTATTTTTATCAGAGGAGTACACTGTAAAGTGTCTTTTTTGAAAGCCAAGAATTGTTGAAAAATGTCTGGACAAACTTAAGGATGTAACCCTGTAGGGGGTGACATGTCTTTTTCTTTACTTTGTTTGTGAGTGCACACAGTACTATACATTACACACACTGTTTTATGTTGTCACCTTGTGTTTATTTTCTATTATCTTGTCTGTAGAGTTTGTGTTATATTTTGTTGAAGATTTGGGAGGAATCTTTTTGGTGACTACAAGATAAGACTAATCATAAGGTGTGTGTAATAACTTTCCTTATGATATTGGTGTGTTAATTTCCCTCTATGTGTCCGGGTCCCCTGGAAATACATAGCATCGGGTGGCCGTAACAGCATGGGCCCCTGAACATGCAGTCCCGGCGGTTCTACCACACTGGCTGGGGCTGCATTACTTAGCCGGCAGGGACCGCGGTCGCAGGAGTCCACAGGGCGGCCGGGCCCCTTGAGTAACGGGTCTGGTCGCAGCTGTGACCGCGGTAGTTCCACCACTAGAATGGATACAGTTGCTCCGTAAATAAAATTAAAACACACAATGAAAGTGCAAGATACGATATACATAATGTAACATACTGGTATGATAAAGAGAAATTAATCCTTAATATAAAAAGCATTCTCTATCGCATCGAAACCAAAAATATGGCAGTCGCAACTGCTTACAAACGACCTGCTCATATACTGAGAACATCATTACATACTACCTTAAATTAATTGCAACAAGTTAATAGGGTGAAAACATTGTGACTTCCAGACCTACATTAACGAAACCCATGTTCTATCTGGGAAAGTAACAAAACAAAAAAACTCTCCAGAAATTAAAAAAAAAAAAAGTAAAAAAAAAAAATCTAAGTATCAAAACGCCTGCTTAAAAGTTCAAACAAGCTTACATCCACATACTCAATAATAGCCTTCAAACTACCATGGAAATGCACATCCTACCATACCCAACCTGCCTCTGTCAACTGCTGTCACTATCCTCACCTTCCCTACTGCTCTGTCCAGAGGTGTTAGTAGTATTAGAAATGGAGTTAGCGCCGTGGTAGGTTGTGGTAACTGTGCACAGTCTGATATAGTACCAGTGGACCTGTTGCCTGCCTTAGTACTTGTTCTGCTTCATCCTTAATTAATATATACTTGCATTGTGTCAGGATTACAGTATGATCCAGCACGTAGAACTGTGTAACACAGAGGACTGATAGGTAACGTATACCGGACCTTAGAATGGTCGGACTAACGTACCAAAGAATAGTCAGGAATAGCCGAGGTCAGGGAACACAGAAAGAGACACAACGATAATGAAAAGCCAGGAGTCAGGGAA